GGCAGGCGGAATCTTATGTGACACCGAGGCTCGATCGGGAAAATCAAGATCTACTTTCGCTTTCGTTACCACCGAGAAGTTTGCCAGCAGTTGTCTGATAACGCAACATTTTTGGCATGCAGGTTGTGCAGTATAAACGCAATGTCGCCGTGCAAATTAAATGTAAGAAATACTCGGACTCGTCGCTCTGCTGTCACTTGTGGGGAAAAAAAAGAAAATACAAGCGTCCGATTTTTAGATTGTCTGGCTCGCCGGCGTGACCGGTCACTGAACCTGCGCGCGTTCGCATCATAAATAACGGCATACTTTGGTGGGAGTAACGGCGCTGCGAAGTATATGACTACGGCATAGAGGAGGAGATTATTGAATTTTTGGGGGTATAAGATACTATCTGGGGGGGTGGGGGTTAAGGCAACACCAGAGGACAAAAACTTGGAAGCACATTTCAGAACTTTGATTAGTTTTGTGCAAAGCGCGCGTTGGTGCAGGCCGTGTGTGGAATCGGGACCCCTCATACTTTGCAAATCAGTGTTATTGAAATAAAGTGTGCGCGTTTCATTGGATGGGTGATAGTAAATTACCTTTTGGGCGGTAGCGAACATGATAGGGTAGGTGACATTGAATGAGACATATGCCTTGGTTATGAAGTCTTTTATGCGCTGTGTACAGCAAAACTATTCAACGGATTAAAAAAAAAATGAATTTCAGACAAATTCCTTTTGACTTCCATATGTTGTGTACAAATTTTAAGCGCAAAACTTCAGTGTGGAGGAAAATATTAACTAAGAAAGATGTAGTAAAAAAAAATAAATCACCCTTTTGTTTTTGCTTTTTGTAAGTGTTTTACGGCGCTCGCAACTGCATAAGGTCATATGAGTGTGCGGGACACATTTAACTTTTTCAGTTGGTAGGAAATTTTGAATTTTGTCCGGGTGGCGGCCGAAGCCTACTCTTTTATCGATTTTAGACCACCAAGGGATCTTTGACATGCGCAACTTGCACACGGGCCCTCTGAGATTTTTCGCCCTTGTCCGAGAAGGCTAGGTGTAGATCTTTCCTACCAGAAGATCAGGGGCGTGGCTGAAAGACAGCAGTAAGAAGAAACCAAGGAGTAGCAGTAGAAAGGTTGTAGAAAGAATCAGAAGCCCAGAGGAGGGGGACAAAGGAGATGAGGGAGTGGGGGCAGAAAGAGGAGACGAAAGCAGACGACAGAACATTGCTAGAGAGCAGGAAAGGAGGTGAAAAGAGACAAATTTAGAGAAGAAAATGTTTCGGTCACTACCCGGATTCGAACCCAGGACCTTTGAATGAGAGGCAAACACCTTAACCTCTAGGCCACAAGAGCCCCCTTTACTTTAACTGATACAAAAACAAACCAAGAACAACTCCATGAATGTTGCCTACAAACTTGACCCATCACTCACAAGATTGACCCATTGATTTTGATCTGAGTGGGTCAATTGACCCATAGTCATTCATAGCAAAAATGAACCCTGTATTTGGCATGTTGGGACTTTTGTCTTGCACTTCTTTTTTTTTTTTTCCTGTCTGTCATGTAAAAAAATAGCCTTTGAAAATGGTACAAAATCCAGGAGAAAGCTGGGGAAGAAACAGGAAATTCTTTCTCCTTGATGAGTGGGAACCTTGAGTCTAGTAGTTTGTGTGTGAACTTTCAATTTTACATTTTGTGATAAGTACATGAACAAAATAAATATGATGGGTAATGATCTGAATCTAGAAAGTTGGTTCAAGACAAGTAAGTGGGTTAGCCGGAACACAGTGTTATGTGATGATTTTGTCAACTTTCAGAACGATGCATCTTTGTTTGGAGACAGTTTTGGGGAATCTTCATTTTATGCTGGAAAGACACGGTATGGAGGAGCATCTACAGAAAGAAAGCAATCATTGAATAAATCACTTCCCTACCAGGTGAGTATGTTGCCAGTTAAAGTTTTGATGTAAGTCTGGCTGGATTGTCTAGGTTCCCCAGGCGGGTTAATTGTTTCACAGGATTATTGTCATGGTGGCAGAATAGGGAGTTTCCTGCCCACAAAAATCATAAGTGAGATGAGCAGTCGTTGTGTTTACCCAATCTGCAGTGCTTCCACTCTTCCGTATTTTATGGAAATCCGTACTTTCTGCCAGTTCCGTACTGGTTCCTCCATCATTATCAACTCCCTCCGTAAAAAGCTGCGACAGCGTAGGACTACCGAAATTCAGTAGCAAAAGATCTGTACTTGTCTTCGTGTCATCTAGTGCTTATATAAGTTAGGAATAATTACGGTAATTCTCTCGGCAATAATTTAATGTTATAGAAACCTGCCAGATTGCAGATTTCCTGCAATCGGCCATTATTCCGCTATGCCCCATGCATTCATTGCGGGCTTGTCGGCAGTACATTTTTACCTTTGGGTTGATCAAAATCTGGCAAACTTTTTGTGCCAGTTTCCTCCATTCTATCATTCACTCATTCCGTCTATCTTCTGATTGTTGCCGCGGCAGGAAAATCTGCACGTTGATCAAGTAAATTGACTTGTGATCTTAGACAGAAAATTCAGGGATGTAAATGTTTCAGATTTTCTCTGATTTCAGATTTTTAAACCCTTCCTGCTTTGAAAAAAAAATAACACGGCCCAATAACAAAAGGAAGAAATCAATATAAATAAAAAGTAAAAAAAAAGTTTCCCTACTGTAGTGGAACTAAATTGCGTGATGCATTCGTCTTGCGCATATTATTACTATATAAATAGTCGTGTAAGTCCTTCTCACACATTAACTAGGCATGGAAACACCCACCCACTGTTTATTCTCACATCACACGCATAATGTATGATGCTGTCAAGACTTCTATACACACGACAAGAATTTCCGATGAAAAAAATCGGAAGTACAATGATTTTAAAGGTCTGATGTTTCCTAGTTTTCCAAGGAAAAAAATCGGAAAGCTGTTCAGAAATTTGTTGTGCCAATAGTTTTAAAATAGCACTAATATTTGCCAGGTTTCATATTGAGTGCATTGAATATCAAAACTGATTTAGAATTCCTCTTTCTTGTGTATTTGCGTTCTAATATTGAAGCACATAAGGTCTAGATGTAGACCTTTTTTTTTGGTCAGTGAGGGCAATGCTGTCTAGATCGTATTCTATCTGGCATACAAATCAAATGTGTTTACAATCGGAGGGAGAAAAAATGGCGGCCTCCATGGAGCTTGATGACCGAAACAAACCGGTTTATTTTTATGGATGTTACACCGAAAAACAGGTTCCAATTGGAATGGCAATGGCTCATTTAAAAAATGCCCTCTGCAAATTTTTTTATGTGCAATTACTTATGGAAAAATAAGCAAAGACGAGTTGAGCTTTTAGAGATATAAATATCGAAGTGATGGTGAGCTGGCCGATGGCGTTCGTAGATCTAGATCTAGGCCTAGATTTTGGGCCTGTGTACATGATAGTTGATTGTTTACCATGACTGTGGCTGTGCCCGTGCATTTGCGGTGTTTGAAAGTTTTCGGAAGAACGAATGTGAACAAGAGAAAGAGGTCAGTTATGAATTTAATATTGTTTATAAGAAAAGAAGCGAAAAGAAAAGAGGGTAAAAGTATGCCTTTTTTCTGGGGACCCCCCCCCCCAGCCGTAGAGGCTCCCACTTTGGTGTTGGGATTATGTAATACATTTTCAGATTTTTTTCAAGTGGCCATTTACATCCCTGAAAATGACTGTCAGAAAGTAACTTTTTAAAAAACAAATTTGTCTAGATCTAGAGAAATAATCAATACGAAGATTCTATGGCATGGGAACGGTTAAGGGCCACGATGAAAGAAATTTATGCTAAAACGAGCCTAAAACTACTAAAGTCGAGAATAATTCAAAGTGGTGTGCCAAGGTTGTGACATGCGACATTCAGGCGTGAAATTTAAGGAAAATTAGGGTATACGCTTCGTAACTTTATTGTGAAGGTACATATCTATTCATTATTCCCAGTTTTGCCATCTATCAATAGTGCGATGACAAATTAATTGAATTATAGTAGCAATGGAAGGGAACCTGCTTTTAAACATTGTCATCAATGGAAATATATTATGTAGATCTTTGTGAAGAAATCAACCAAGACAAAATTGTTGGTGTAAAAATAAATGTTATGGTTTGCAGACAATCTCCAGTGCTTCCACTCTTCCGTATTTTTACGGAAATCCGTACTTTCTGCCAGTTCCGTTCTTGTCCCTCCATCATTATCTACTCCCTCCGTAGAAAAAACTGCGAGAGTGCAGGACTGCCGAAATTCCGTGCTCGCCTTCGTATCGTCTTGTATAAGGTACGGATATTTACGGTAATTCTCTCGGCAACAAGTTAACGTTATAGAAACCTGCAAAATTGTGCATTTCCTGCAATCGGACATTTTACTCTACCACTATGTCCCAGTCCCATGCATTCATTGCGTGTTGGTCGGCAGTACATTTTTTTACCTGCAGACGGATCAAAATCTGGCGAACCTTTTGTGCCAACTTCCTCCTTTCTGTCATTCACTCATTCCTTCTGTCTATCTTCGGATTGTTGCCGCGGCTGGAAAATCTGCGCGTTGATCAAGACTGATTTTGATCTTAGACAGAAAATTACTGCCGGAAAGAAACTTTTCACAAATTTTATCTAGATCTAGAGAAATTATCAATGCGAAGATTCTACGGCACGTGAACGCAATATAAGGGCCGCGGTGAAAGAAATATATGCTGATACGGTCATGCCCACTACGGATGGAATCGGCCGATTGCGCTGATCGCCCGACTCGGTCGAACAACCGTGTTTGCTTTGAAACTGAAAATAATCACGTTTGTTTTTGAGGCGATCGAGTTGGGCGATCAGCCCGAACGGCCGATCCCGTCCATAGTGAGCACCACGTATAAAATCAAGAATAATTCGAAGTGGTGTTCCGAGGTTGTGACAGGCGACTTTCAGACATGAAAATTTAGAAAAAATGTGGGTATACGCTGTGCAACCGTATTTTGAAGGTACATCTATTCATTTTTCCCAGGTCCTGCTGTCAATGGTGCGACTACAAATTAACTGAATTATAGTAGCAATGAAAGGGGAACCTGCTTTTAAACATTTCCAGCATTGGAAAGATATGCTGGCGATGAAGTCAAACAAGACAAAATGTTGGTGAAAAAATAAATATTATGGGCTGTAGGCAATATCTTCAAACAGGCTCCCAAATGCTATTTTCTACCCTCTAAAAGCACTAAATTTCAATTTCTTCGGGGGCTTCGACCCCTGAAACCCCACCCTGCTGGGGGCCTATGCCCCCCCCCCCCCCCTGCAGAATTTTCCTTACTTTTCAGCTTCAGCTGGTGGAAGCACTGAATCTGAATCAATGGACGCCTTACATGAACTTAAACAGAAGTGCTGCTCATTTCTTTTATCATGAGACTCAGTGGTCTGAATCATATCTTTTTGTTTTACCCTTAACTCCCCAGAATTTTGCCTATTTTGGCTTTGTCGTTTGAGTCTCAGGAGTGCTCCATATCCTCAAGCATCCTGCAATAATCTAACTGCTCCAGATACACATTTACCAATGGAAAAGGAACCTAGCCAATAGATTTCATATTTGTCAAACTCTCTTGAGGTGTGACCTATTTTTTCTGGTTTTTAAAAATAGCACCAGAACCCACACCTCCCTAACAATCACAAAGGAGAAGAAAAAGTGTTTGAAAATTTAGAGTTTACATTTATTTCATGAAGAAGTCCAATCAATTCTGCATTTTATGTGTCAGAGATACAGATACACCATTCTGTTGGAAAATAAATAAATGAGGGCTAACTCTATAGAAATGCCAACCGGGCTTCCGAGCGCGATGAAAATTTGGTCCCCGTTTGCTGGTGAACTTTTGTTCGGGGTCGGAACGATAGTGACTAACTTTCTCGAGCTCGTTCTGCGCTATTTCAGGACCAATGTGAATGAAACTTGGCAACCAATCAGAAAATAAGGCAAACTAATGATATGTGGAAGTCGAAGTTCGTACTCATAAATTAACCTATACTTTTGGTGTCGGAAACTCTTTCGTATCGGGTACACCGAAAACTATAAGGAGTTTGATATTCGATGCCGAGATGGTAGGAGATCCATCTTTCCTCTATAGTTATAGTGTGTGTTCAAATTTGAACCTTCTGTGTCAAGTAGTTGTGCAGATGTGCTGAATTTATCATAAATGCACGACTACCCCGCGGTTTCGCACGGAGACCGGCCATTTTCCCTTCACTCCGTATGCAAATGTATGTGACCTACAAATCCCCGCATGACTTTTCCGAGCCTGTTCATTCGTCACTTGAAATAGGGCAATGGCGGTTGTTTTTCTCTCTGTCCCCCCCCTGTAACATCCCAATGGGGGTATTCCGAGGCAAGCTTATCTCGCCTCGGGGTGTTCGCGTCTCAACGGGAAAAAGGGTTTTTTAATAGAACAGCATGCTAGATTGAATTAAATTACATTTTATGGTTGGCATGGTCTAAAGTAATCAAAACCAGAAGCCTCAGTCTACACTGCTGAGGCTACAGTTTTTGAAATGGCCCTTAATATAATAGATCAATCAACCAAGTCTACTTTCCTAATCCTTTCAGACTCTCTCTTGTCTGAAATCTTTAGAGCGCTCTGACACCTCCGACAACAGAATTTTATAACTTTTAATTAAACTGCGTTTTTTACATCAATCTGGAAAAACTATTACAATAGCTTGGCTTCCAAGCCATGTAGACATTGATGGCAACGAAGCCGTTGACCAATTTGCCATAGAATCTCTGAAACTACAGTCAAACCTGTGTAAGACGGCCACCCATTGTCAAGGACGAAAGTGGTCGTATAAGACAGGTGGCCGTCTTAGGCAGGACTGATCAAGATGAAGAAAACAAACCCCATTCCCAATCGAAAGTAGCCGCATTAT